TTTTTTTTTTTTTTTTTTTGTAATTTGAGATATGGAAAAATGTAATTTTTTTATAGCCAAAAACTTATAATGTTAGTTTTAGAATAAATAACTCGAACAAAAAGTTTTATGATATAATTTTTTTTTTTTCATATTTGTGTAACTTTCATATATCATCTAGTGTAAATATAATTAGTTATCTTTAATAATTACTATTATATAATAGAATAAAAAAAATATTTATTACCCAATTACCATATAATATAACGAATTGTCTTAATTAACCTTAAAAAAGAGCAAGAAAATATTTTAGGATTAATGAGTAGAGATGTTACACGGGCTAGCCCTAGCGGTTACGGGCTAGTTCTAGCGGGCTTCTGGCTGAACGGTTCGGACCTAAAAAGCCCATATTTAAACGGGCTACCAATAAAAAAACCTAACCCTAACCCTAGCGGGCTTCGGGCTAAACGGACTAAGCGGGCTTTAATAATGATATTAATAATAGTAATAATAATAAGAATAATAATGTATCAAAAAATATAAAAAATTAAAAGAAAAAAATAATAAAAAATTACAACGACTACTTAATGATTGTTTTCAACGGTATTGAGTATTTGCCGCTCTATATATACAACTACACATCATATATGAACACATACTACAAACTCTTAAATAACATTTTTTTTTCAAAAGAAAAAAATATTCGAATTATTACTTACAATTACCATTTCACTACTTATTTTGTACGCTTTGGAAATTTTTACGATATTATATCACTATAAATTCTATCACTATGTTTCATGTGTTAGGTCTTTGTCTCATTTATTTCCTATTAGTCGTTCTGATTGAGTTAAATATTTTGGTGTGGAGTACAATAAGAATATTGTTAATAATTATATTTCAATATCAATATAATCCGTTACAGCTCATATTATATGTGAAGTGGAATAGCAAAATTGTAATATACAATGCATCTAAGAGTATGTTACTTGCTGTAAATATTTACAACACCCAACTCAAATTAAACGGGCCAGCCCTAGCGGATTTCGGACTAGCCCTAACGGGCTTCGGTTTAAACGGTCTGGGCCTAAAAAGCCTTGATTTAAACGGACTACCAATAAAAAGCCATAACCCTGTTTTTTTCCGGGCTAAACGGGCTGGCTCGTCGGCCAAGGACCGTGTAACATCTCTATTAATGAGTTAGGGTAAATTAATGCAAAAAAATAAATAAATAAATAATAATAATAATAACATATGATTATAACGGAAAAAGACTTGAAAACTTATTTTATTAAATATTTTGGTAGCAATTATATATATATTCACAGATACTTCTTTTATAAACGTTAAAAATTTCATGCTTAAAAAAAAAGAAAAAGAAAAGAAAAGAAAACATTTAATAATTATTAATATACATTTAATTTTTTTCTATTCACAGTCCATTTGAGATTATTAATATAAATAAATGCTTGCCCTGTCCTGTGCTCTCTGCACCTCCCCCATCACTCCTCCATATATACTGAGCTTCACCTCTTCTCATCCTCTCACTCCTCACCTCCAATTCTTCTCTCTCCTCTCTGCAGTTCTCTTCCATTTGCATTTCATCTTCTGTTTTTGAGTTTATCACAAGTTTTTTTTGTCGGTAAACCAAACTCACACACTATAGTGTTCATACTCTCACACAAAACACACACATACAGAACAACACAGATCTGTGTACATTGCACATTATCATCATTTGGGCTAAAAAGCAAAACCCCCCAAAAAAAAAAAGTAAAATCAAATGGAGAAACCCGTGGGGCTCTGTTTTTCCATGGCTCCCCTGTTTTTATTTCTCGGCATTTTCCTCCTTCCACAGGCATTCGCCAGCCATGATTATGGCCAAGCTCTCAGTAAGAGCCTTCTTTTCTTCGAGGCTCAGAGATCTGGTTACTTGCCTACTAACCAGCGGGTCAGCTGGAGGGGAAATTCCGGCCTAAATGACGGAAAAGTTAGCGGGGTAAATATTCTCTCTCTCTCTCTCTCTCTCTCTCTCTCTCTCTCTCCATCTCTCTCTTGTAATGTTGAAAAAATTGTGAGTGTAAAATGTGGCATTGTGTGTGATTTTGCAGGTGGATCTGGTCGGAGGGTACTATGACGCCGGGGACAACGTGAAATTCGGGCTGCCGATGGCATTCACCGTCACCATGATGTCGTGGAGCATAATCGAGTACGGGAGGCAGATGGCGGCCGGCGGCGAGCTCGGGAACGCCCTCGACGCCGTCAAGTGGGGCACTGACTATTTCATTAAAGCTCATCCCGAACCTAATGTTCTCTACGGAGAGGTACTCATAATATTATTTTATAGATTAAGTTGCAGCTGCTAACATGTGTAGCTCATTTAGTTTGAAATTGTTTGTTTTATATTTATTTATTTATATTACATAAATAATTAATGGGGGGGTGAGTTTTGTAGGTCGGAGATGGGAACACGGACCACTACTGCTGGCAGAGACCGGAGGACATGACCACGTTGAGAGCCGCTTACAAGATCGACCCGAGCCACCCGGGATCTGACCTCGCCGGCGAGACCGCCGCCGCCATGGCCGCCGCGTCAATCGTCTTCCGCCGCTACAACCCTTCCTATGCGGCGGAGCTTCTCAAACACGCTTCCCAGGTCAACTTAATTTTCTCTTCTCTTCTCTTTCGTTTTTTGTTATACTATTCGAGCATTTCAGTGTGTGGTCAGTGTGAGTCCAGGCGCATTTTAGTCACCGGTTGGGGTGCGCATTTTAGTTGGAGGGGCTCAGTTATTTTAGGCAGTTAAATTTAGCTCAGCTTTTTTGTCAGGTTGGTTGTTGTCGGTGCACTGTAGCAGAAGGGTACCAACTTTAATTTATTGCTTCAAATTAACTGTGCTGAAACTAAACCGTAAAAATTACTTTGAATGAAGTAAATTACTGTTTCGCCGTTTATTTTATCCTTCTATAGTAAATCTCATAACTAAGAGATGTTAACATAACCGAATTATTTTGTTCGTAAAAGCTCGAGTTCGTCTCGTAAATACCATGTGTTACCAAAAAAAACTACTCCATGTTTTACATCACTTCAGAGCTAAAAGATATATAATGACAATGACCTATTCTGTATGTGCTTGTTGAAATAAATGCTTTTGAAATAGGATTGTATTGCAAGAATCAAAATGGTAAAGTTAATTGGTCAATAACCATATCTAAATTGTACATTTTAATTCATATATTTTTAATTTTACCAATATTTAATTTTATTTATGAGTTTAATCAATATAATAATTATAATTATATTAAATGATACTAGTATAGTTTAAGACTATAAAATAATAGATTTAATTTCATTAATTTTTGGAAACGTTTTGGCATTTAATTTGCCTGAGCATAATATTTCGGCGCATAAATTGGATCATGTGGCTGGGGACCAATTTCTGCCGTAAATCACGGGCATTGTCTCAATAAAACTATCAATAGAATCTCAGCCGTTGATGAGATTGCCCGTAGTAACTAACTATGGGCCTCGATAATGACACGTGACAAGTTGTCGGTGCACCGCGTGTATGCTATTATCTTCGAACATGTCGAAACTGCCCCCATCTAACAGGGTCTCTTTCTCGCAGCTCTTTGATTTCGCGGACAAGTACAGGGGCAAATATGACAATAGCATCACGGTTGCGCAGAAGTACTACCGATCAGTCAGTGGGTACACAGTATGTGATTCTTCCTCCCTTCATTAATTGCATTTAATAATCATTTCTTTATTTGAAACTTTTATGTTAAAATGTATTTAAACAAAAAAAAAAAAAAAAAACTTGGGGTGATTGGATAAAGAAAAATGCTATACATAGAAGTGTACAACACTCACGTAGAGTGAGGTCTACTCGATTTTTATTTTTTTGTAAGTCCCACTTATATACATTTATTTATATAATATTATGTACATATAGTATTTTTGCTGTACATAACTATTTTCAAACAATTAGTAAAAATATATTTTTTTCTCTCTCTCTCAATTATTAATACAATTAAAAAAACATAAAATAATCATTACCGAACATTTTCAGCAAAATTCAGTATTTATGCACTCACATATTTAAATTAATAATAATTAATAAACTTTAACCATGATTAATTCTCTTTGTTGTGGAAATAGGATGAATTGTTGTGGGCAGCTGCATGGCTATACAAGGCAACAGACAATGAGTACTATTTAAATTACTTAGGGAACAATGGTGATGCCCTTGGAGGAACTGCTTGGGCCATGACTGAATTTGGTTGGGATGTTAAATATGCTGGGGTCCAAACTTTGGTTGCTAAGGTACATTATAATCCCACATTTTTCTTTAATTTTGCATTTAATCTCAATTCAAGTTCAGCATTTTAATAAGCTCAAGATTTCATCACATTCATTAGTGTTAACTGTAGTTCTTTTGGTGCAGTTCTTGATGGCAGGGAAAGCCGGTAAACATACCCCGGTTTTCCAGAGGTACCGAGAAAAGGCCGAGTTCTTCATGTGCTCGTGCCTCGGCAAGGGGACCCGCAATGCCCAGAAGACGCCAGGTGGACTCATCTTCAGACAGAGGTGGAACAACATGCAGTTCGTGACGAGCGCCTCATTCCTCATGACTGTATATTCGGACTACCTAACCTCAGCCCGCCAATCTCTTAGGTGCGCCAATGGCAACGTCTCCCCCAACGAGCTCCTATCCTTTGCTCAATCCCAGGTAACTGTTATTATTAGTGTTGATTAATTTTAGTACGTAAATATTGAACAAAAATTGAATCTTTTTTTATTTTTTTATTTTTTAAAAAGGTGGATTACATACTGGGGGACAACCCACGGGCAACGAGTTACATGGTGGGGTACGGGAATAATTACCCGAGACAGGTCCACCACAGGGCAGCCTCTATTGTGTCCTACAAGGTGAACCCCTCGTTCGTGACTTGCAGGGGAGGGTACGCCACCTGGTACAGCCGCAAGGCGAGCGACCCAAACCTGCTGACCGGAGCAATAGTTGGCGGGCCCGATGCCTATGACAATTTTGCTGACGAGAGGGACAACTACGAGCAAACCGAGCCCGCCACATATAACAATGCCCCACTCATTGGTATACTGGCGAGGCTTCACGCGGGTCATGCCGGATACAATCAGCTTCTGCCAGGTTGATAAGGGGAAAATTTTAACATTATTGAGATATAAGTTAAATGGTTTGAGTTTAAGTTCTTGTGTTGATTCTTTTTTTTCCAGTGGAGCTACCTGCGCTTAAACCGATTGCGACTAATCCAACACCAGAATTGGTTAAACCCACTCCAGGTACCATTGTGCTTCTTTCATATATAGTTCTTTTGTGCTTTCACGTTCTTGATTTGGCGAACATGACTTGTTATTGTTGTATTTTTTGGCTATGTTTATCTGAAACTCATATTTGGTTAAATTGTGCAGCTTCTGCCTCGAGTAGCCCGGTTGTTGTTACTCAGAAGGTCACGAGCTCGTGGGTACTGAACGGGAGAACTTACTACAGATACAGCACAACAATCACAAACAAATCCTCCAAAAATTTGAGAAACCTGAAGCTCTACATTTCTAACCTGTATGGTCCACTGTGGGGACTGACAAAGTCCGGCAACTCCTACTTCCCATCATGGGCCAACTCATTGCCTGCCGGTAAAAGCATCGAGTTTGTGTACATTCACGCAGCCTCCCCTGCAAAGGTCAGGGTGTCGAGCTACAATCTCGTCTAAATTTGCAAAGGGAATAAGCTATTTGTTGTTATTCACTTCAAGGTCAAGTATTGTGCAGCTACATACAAGTTTACATTCCAAAAGGTCTCTCTTTGTCTAAAAAATGTTTCTCTAAAGTTTCGATTCCATGTTTGATTTATGAGATGAGTTTATTAGGATGAAAGTTGTGGTACATATAAGGTCGAGAAAAGGAAGGAGAAAGGAGTGACGAGACGATATGGAAGATAAGTGCTCATCCTCTTTCTTCTCCTCTTCACCTACCGAATATTAGGATCGTAGAGTGAGGGAATGGCTGAATGGAGTATGAGAAAAGTTGAGAAGACAGTCTCAAAACTATTTAAACTTTTTTTTTTTTTGCTTTTTCTTTTTACTTCTTGTTTGTACTTGATCAGAGCATGTTTGAGTTTGTTTCGTCTGTGTTTGATGTTGTAGCCTTTACAACGTGTCGTGTTTCGAATATGAATACAGTTTGCGTGAAGATGTTTGGATTCGTAGCAACTTTTTGCCTTTTCTTGCATCTAAATTTGCCGCTCGAGTTACTTCTTCATATTTTCTTATCAGAAGAAGTTGTGCTTCCGTCTTTGTGATTGAGGTCCTACAATAAATGTGTTCCTTTTCTTTTTTAGATCTAACTGATACGATTTTCTTTACTCCTTTCTCATATCCATGTAGTTTGTTTTCATAAGCTACGCTGCAATTTTCTTAATATTATATAACTTGTACCCATATGAACGTAGTCAAAAGTTGAGCCACTCATTCACTCTCTTGGTCTTAGAAAAGGGAAGTTGAATTTCAGCCAAGACATTGGTTGATTTTCATTGATTTTCATGTTATAGTGATGTGATTTTATGTCAATCATTCACCAGTTTTTAAATGATGCAAAATAGAGGGGAACAATACCCGACAATTCGAATTCAGAATAGATACTCGACAATTTATTTGACTTATCATTGTTAATTTTTCTAAATATCTAATTAAAGAAATTAAAATAAAACAAAAACAATACCCACAAAAAAGGAAAAAAAAAAATTAAATATGGACATCAAGATAAGAAGACAATTTATGTCACTACAAAAATTTTGAAAATTTCAAATAAATCATGGGCGGGAATTGCCAAAAAATATCAAAAAATGTTTCCATAATTAGTAAAAATAAAAAATTTAATCGGGAATTGTAATGCATTGGGTCAAAATGAAGAGCATCTACAATGCATTGGGTCTAGTCTCGCCTATGTGGCATGTAAATAAACTCAAGTCTTGGATGACATGGATAAAACTATGCAAATTTGAGACTAGGTCTCTACTTAGGTCTAAAATAGACTTAAGGGTAGACCGAGTCTGTTTTTTTGTTGCCACATCAGCAGGACTCAGTCTACTTTTGTTTACATTGGAAAATACATTTTTTCAGACTAAGTCTATTTCTTAAGTGGCATACCACTTTTTATGATTGAACTCAAATCATTAGAGCATCTGCAATGCTTTAGGTCTAGTTTTGTATATGTGGAATGTAAATGAACCTAAGTCTTGGATGACATGGATAAAAATATATAAAATTAACAAAATCTACTCCAATGCAAGGAGACTAGGTCTCTACTTGGGTCTAAATTGGACTTAAGGTTAGACCGGGTCTCTTTTTCTTGCTGCCACATCAGCAAGACCTAGTCTACTTACACTTGCATTGGAGAACATATTTTTTTAGATCGAGTCTATTTCCAAGGTGGCATTCAAATTTTTTTAATTGAACATAAAGCATTGTGGATGCTTGTGGATGCTCTTATGGATGCAAACAGTATTTGAGCTAAAATTCCTTTCTTTGATGATGGCTTAACATTAACATGAAAAGGTGTGTTCTTTTTTTTTGGGAGTCAGCCACGGTATTTGGAGCTATGCCTCGGCTAATCTGTTGGTCGACCCGGGTCACATACGTGGCAGTAGTGGATGAGTCTCCCAACCAGGGGTTTCTGCATCCACAAGGACTCGAACCGGAGACTTTGATTAAACGACATCAAACTGCTTACCACTTGAGACAACCCCTATTGATCTATTCTTTAAAACAAAAGTAACATGTTTTGAAAGTCGAATAGTGTGCTCTTCACGTTCATCACCATTCAACAGTCATATTCATCTAAAAAGTCTCTTTCTCAGAATTATTATTCCAAGAAAAAACACACATATCCGAATTATTCTAAAGAAAGCCGCGACTGAATCTGAAGAAATTAGGGGAAATGGAGATCTCGTTGGTGCGCATGTGCATCGACTCGGCCACTCAGAGCGCCGACGCCGTCGAGAAGTGGCGGAGGCAGCGGCGGACTATTGAGCGCTTGCCGTCTCCTCTTGCCGATGCCCTACTCCGCCGCCTGCTCCGCCGCCGCCTTCTCTTCCCTTCTCTGCTAGAGTATATTTCCTTACGCTGCTTTTTATATTGGATATGTTTATCTTCGTCCCAATGAATTGACTTTACTCGAGAATTGTTGAAGCATAAATCTCCACGCATGGATTCATTTTTTTGTTTTGCTTGAATTGATTTCAGTAGTGTTCGTCCTTTTGAATCTAATTTACAGCGTTACAAATTCAATTCGAACATGGGGAAATGAAAATGTTGGTCGGTATGTGTTATAGTTAGCAAGATTCTAGGTTTTGATTGATGTCGTGATTTGCTTTGCAGTCATTGAGTAGATATAGTGATGGTATTGCATGTGTTTCTCTTCTTCTGTCTTCTTTACTTTCGTTTTCCTACTGTAAACATACATCAGAAATGGCTGCACTGAATAATTTCCCTATCTATCAGAGCGATTAGGTTTGTAAAAAGAAATATCAGCTTTGACAGCCGGCTGTATGTCATATTTGACATTTTCGTTTATATGCCATCCTTCAGAGTTTTCAAATACAGTGCAGAGGAAGTCGATTTGAGAGGTGAGAGCTGTGTGGATGCAGAATGGATGGCATACTTGGGGGCCTTCCGATACTTGCGTTCAATAAATCTGGCAGATTGCCACAGAATCACTAATTCAGCTATTTGGAGTTTATCAGGTATGCAAGTATGCTCTTGGTCTCTATGTATTTCCTCAGCCAGTCAGCTTGCTGCAATATGACATGGATATATTGGTGTCTTTTTTCTTTTTAGTTGTTCCTTCAGTTTTCCTGTGTTTATGCTCTCTTATCAATGTGATGAACAACAGGTAGCTGCTGGACGTCATATCTTTGCCCTTGATTTGCTCCTATTACAGGGTGTTGTGTTGTGATTCATAAAACTAGTTATTTTATTTTCATTCTTTTTTGGCAGTTATACATATTCGCTGATTAAAAGTCATATTAACCGTAGTTAGTAAATATTGTGATTGTAGTTCTGAGATGAAATGATGATTTGCTTGGGATTTCTTGCCATAAGAAACTATGATCTATTAATTCTACTAAGAACTAGCAAGTTGTATATGTGTTTTAGCTGGACTGACTCCATTGTATAAACTTCATTAGTATCAACCACGACATGTGGGTTTATCTTGGTAATGAAATTATAATGCTATAAATATTTTTTTACAACTTTCAGGCTTGACATATTTAAAGGAGGTGGATCTGGCGAGATGCTACAAGGTTACAGATGCTGGTATTAGACATCTATTATCAGTTCCAACTATCGAGAAACTATGTATTTCACAAACAGGTGTTACATCAGATGGTGTGAGGATGCTTGCTTCACTAACTAACTTAATGATCTTGGACCTGGGAGGTCTACCTGTCACTGATTCGGCTCTGAGATCTCTCGAGGTAAAATATAAGTTGTCCATGTTTCTTCCTCTCTTCGTGTCTCCGGTAGTCTTTTTTGTAGTCATGTTTCCTTGGGAGCTAACTTTTATTCGTTTATCCCACTTTTCACCGATATTAAAAATGAGTGTTTATCTTTATAGAAAGTTATAGGAGACAACTTCTTTTTATCTGTGAAAATTCTACAGTGATAATGGTGTGCAAATGATTTTATTAGAAGTAGAATGGTGCATGGATTGTATCTTTCTGTGTTGTTAGGGTACTATACCAATTTTATATCCATACTTTTTTGGGGATTTTTTTCTTCATATATTTTCATCAACAAGGAATGAGGTGAAAAGGCTGCTTTGAAGGTTAATTTGGTCTGGTCATCTGGCTTCATATTTTCTAATGGGTGTCAAATAGGTGAGAATATTCTGCCATAATGGTATAACTCTTTCACCTTCTTGACTTAACACATTGAGATATCAAAGACGGATAATTGTGTTGGTATGCGGTGGTTGTTTCTAATTTTTCTTTTATTTTTTTCTGTCCTTAGTTTTATACTATTTGATGTTGTGGTTGTTTCTAATTTTTCTTTTATTTCTTTCCCGGTCTAAGTTTTGTATTATTTTATTCACATTATCTCTATCTCTAGATAGTATGGACTTCCATAATGCGAGTGACAAAATATAATACTTTTCAGGTTCTCATGAAATTGCAACATTTAGAACTCTGGGGAAGTGAAGTATCTAACATAGGTGCAGCTGTGCTCAAGAAATTTCCCGACTTGAGTTTCTTAAACCTTGCCTGGACCAATATAACTGACTTGCCAATTTTGCCTTCTCTTTCAACCCTGAACATGAGCAACTGCTCCATACATTCTCTATTCAAAGGAGGTCAGAAAGTCTGCTTGGAAAAAGTTATGTTCTCTGAGGCCACATTCACTGATGTTTCTGAGGTTTTCCAACATGTTGAAACAAGCAAACTTTATTCATTGGATATATCCAGCCCCTCCATTAAGTCGTTCGGCTTTTTGAGTTCAATGAAGGCACTGACCTATTTGAACCTGAGTGATAGTGCCTTGGTTGACAATTCAGTCGAACATGTAGCATGCATAGGAGCAAAGTTAAGGTACTTAAATCTCAGCAATACTAAAGTGAGTTCTGACGGGATTGGGGCATTAGCCGGACATGTTCCCAATCTTGAGACGCTATTGTTGTCCGGCACACCTATCAACGACAAGGCTATCATATATATCAGCATGATGCCGTCGCTCAAAGTCATCAACCTAAACAAAACAAACGTGAAAGGTGCCATTCTAAAACAAGTTCCGTTTTCCTTTCTATATCATTCTCCACTTTCTCTATATTTGTGATGAATAATTAATCCGTATTCAAAAACCTCGGGGCCCAGCTTCAGTTGTCTTCTGAAGTACAACGAACCCCTTGAAGTTTGTATTTACCTAGGAAATTAAGAGTGCAATATCTAGAATAGAAACAAAATGCAAATGGGCTAGTTGTATTTTCGAAATATTTACATTCTCTTTTATATAATTAATCTATAACTCAGGGGGTACCTTTTGTTGGTCAACATTAACACTTACTTTTTTTTTTCTCCAGGTTTGCTTCACCAGGAAGATGGTGATCGTGACGAGGTCCCATCATTTTCCGCACTGGAAAATCTTAATCAATTAGAACGGCTCGACTTGGAGATGGTAAATATAAAGGACAATGCTGTCTGGCCCCTGACAAAATTGCAACGATTGCGACATCTGTCCCTGCAAAGTTTCTCGCTTACGGATGTATCTCTACACCACATATCTTCTTCCACAAAGCTGACACATCTCGGTATCCGTGATGCTGTGCTGACAGATGGTGGGCTTCTTAGTTTTATTCCCCCTCAGGCCTTAAGAGTGCTTGACATCACGGGATCCTGGCTAATGACGAGGGACGCTGTAATGCATTTTTGCCGTAAGTACCCTCAAATTGAGGTGAGGCACGGGCTCGTTGAGAGAGTTGAGAAGAGGAATTTCGATCATTTGTCTCCATCTCGAGCGAATGTGACAGGTGGTTTGCGTTCGAAGCATAAGCTAGGCAAGCAGTCTGTATTGTCCATTTCTGGTGATAATTTTCTGGGTGAGATATATTAACTGTGCATTCAAAAAACAAGTCAATGGTGATGCTGCCTTCACTTTCTTGAATGATAACGATGTTTTTATGTGTGCAGATCAGAGATTGAAATACAGCAGGGAAGAGTTAGTGGCTCTGCAATTTGCATCTGGAGCTTCAACATCTCAACTGAACTTATTGTCCTGATGATGTTTGCACTGATTTTGACATTTTGAGCTCCACACAATCCTCTTGTGGTTCATAGATCAAGCAGGAGGAGCCGAAGCTAGCTTGTCTTATTGTGAGTGGTTGAGGAAAATTATGTTTACTTTGTTTCTAAACCTTTTGGAGCATTAAATGCTGTACCTTGCTTAATGTGTTGTTGTAATGTTTGTGAATCATGTTTTCTTGGGAGTTATTCTCATGTTATATCATCCTGGAAATTTTGGTGAGTTTTGTATGATTCCCATTGTTTTTTGTGCTTCTTTAAGATTGTCCGCCAACATTTGGCTTTTTTTTTTTTTTTTTTTTTTTTTTTTTTTTTTTTTTTTTTTTTTTTTTTTTTTTTTTTTTTTTTTGGGAACAATTATTATGTGCGCCAATGATTAATGTAACTCCTCAGTAGCAGGCATGCATGAATATTTTAGGGTATTAATTATCAGTGTGGCGTTTGATCCTTCAGTATTTTATCGAGGATTACAAGGATATTTCCTTGCGTAAAGGCATCAGGATTCAGAGTTCAATGTGTTGTTTAAACTCCCATTGGTGCTGTGTGATTCTGATGACGATAGTGTATCTCGACTCCTTTAAACTGCTCTCTTTCGGGATTAAAAGTAAGCACGGAAAAGACGCTTGTCTTTTTTTCCAATAATGTTGAGTCCCTGGACCAACGTTGACTGGCGGATGTGCTACATTTCAAATGGACAGACAACTTGGGTAAATACCTTGGCATCCCCATCCTTCATGGTCGCGTAACTAGAAATGCGTACTCACACATTGTTGACAAGGTGGAATCGCGTTTAGCCAAGTGGCGTATGAATACGTTTTCGATGGTGGGCAGACTCACCCTTACCCAAACAGTGCTAAGTACGTTGCCTTATTATTCCATGCAAGCTGCCTGTTACCATGTGCCACTATCGATGGTCCTGAGCGAAAGAGTCGTGCCTTTGTACGGGGCTGTTCAGCGGAGAGTCGTGCCTTATTATTTTGTGGTTGCTGGCTTTGTTCCGTTTGGGTTTGTTGTGGGTTGCTGGTTGTAGTTGGGGAGGTAGTAGTCTATAGTTAGTCTAGGTGTGTGTTTGTTTTCTTTTTTTTTTTTAGTGCGTGTTCTCCAAGTGGAGTATTTAGTTCGGTTTTATAAGGGGTTGGGCCAGCTGTGCCATTGCCAACCCAATCCCTTTGGTTTTGTTTGTCTAGGGTGCTATGGTTAGCATCTCTCCCGATTCCACCTCTTTGGTGCTTTTATAAAGGCGAGTGCCCCTTCGTTCTTCATTGTAAAATCTCCTTTGCTGAAGGATTATAAATTCTATCATTTCGAAAAAAAAGGGCAGCCGAAAGCTTGTTAGTTACCCATTTAAAACACACTCAACCCTCATGGAGTCATGGGGTTCTTTGTAACTAAAGTTTCTGGGTTATGTCGAATATACCAGAGATCAAAAGGTATGCAAAGAAATCATAACCATCAGCAAATATGGCAAAAGAAGATTACACCAGTTTTTACCTATCAGCGAAATTCAGCTCTAAGCAAGAGCTTATTTGACACTCTTGTACATGTTGTCAATCACGCGCTGCAGGAAACACATAATTTGTATTAGTAAAGACTAATTTTCTTATACATGATGTCAATTGTCAATTATACTCTAAAGAAACACTGCAAGCATAGTTTCTTTGGATGATATACGCCCAACAAAAATGAAGCATGAGCCTCCGAACCCTTGAAAAAATCAAGCCAAAGTAAACTGCACAATGAAAATGCAAGAAAATGCTCTTCCTGATAAAATGCAAAATTTTGTGCACTGACTTGCTAGAGAAAAGGATGTTTTCTAAAGAAAATTTTGGCAAAATTGCATTTTTAGTCCTGCTGGTTTAACGCTTTAGCATTTTTAGTCCCAAAATTTCAACTTTTTGTCTTTTGATCCTGTAATTTTGTATTTTGTTGCAATTTCAGTCCAGCAACAAAATTTAAAATTACAGAACTTAAATTGCTAATAAAAAATTCATCCAAAAGATTTTTCATTAACAATTTACATCCTGTAATTTAAAATTTTATTGCATTTTCAGTCACAAGTGACTGAAATTGCGTTGAATTTTAAAATCATAGGGCCAAGTAGCAAAAATGTTCAATTTTTAGGACTAAAAACGCTACTGGATCAAACCAACCAACAGGACTAAAATTGCAGTTTTGCCGAAAAGTTTTATTAACCACAAACATAGTACAAGAATTACACAGTTGAACTAAGGGTCACGGAATAAGGAATCAAAAGCATCAGTGTCTTATTACAGGGGCTAAACGCAAACTGACCTTGTAGTACTTGAGTAACTGGGGTCTCTTCTTCTTGAACGTTGGCGTGATAAGATCTCGTTCCAAGTCGAACGGGACAGGATCGAGGTGTACAGCTTTGATGAACTCAAACCCCTTCAACTGCCAAAGAACGAAAAAAGAGGTAGGTCAGACAAATAACAATGAACTTCAAACTGAAGAAAACAGTTACTTTGTCGCACTATTACAACTGATCAGGATTCAGGATAAGGGTCCAGAAACGAAAGTAATGAGCAAGAAAAAGAAGGAACCTTTTTTTCTTTTCCAATCCTCGATAGTTCTCCAATAAAATACTCTTTTACTTTGTCATTTTCGCATAGGGCATTGAAGTCTCCGGGTAGACCGTTCTGCACAGCCCACTTCTCAACTGCTATCTGGTTTGGATTAATAACAGCAACAAGGCAAGACTCAAAGCTGTTCCCATATATCCATATCTGCAATATAAAGAATTAAAAGCACCATGAAGAACATACAACGGCAGATTTACTAATATGAGAAGATAAACTTGCATTAGATAATGCTTTCAATCTAAGATCCATCAAAATTCACATTCTGGAATTTATGTATTCAGAGAGGAGTGGACTGCATTACTTCATTGTTATTATACGAATTCTAGGTTGAAAGTACAACACTATTGTGTTAAAGGAAGAGTTTAAAACTAATCCAATTTTCATTTTTTGTAAAGGTCATTAGCTTGATGTCATAATAGACTCCTTAATACGAATATAGTATTGCATACCGAGTCAATATCGGGGACTAGGCCATAGATATTTTCTAAGTTCTCCACAGCAACATACTCTCCTTGTGAGAGTTTAAAGATGTTCTTCTTACGATCGACTATTTTCAAGCTTCCATCTGGTTGCCATTCACCAATATCCCCTAACAAAAAAAAGTTTCATGAATATTAGGAGAGTATTACAACGTAATTGATTTCAAAATATTTGGATATGACCACTGACAAAGCAACCTGTATGAAACCAGCCATCAACAAAGACTTCTTTTGTAAGGTCTTCACGTTTGTAGTAGCCTGCAAATAAAGTATCCCCCCTTACACATACTTCTCCACGTGGTGTACTTGAAAGGGCATCATAACCCATTTCTGGAACAGATTCCAAGCAAACATCCACATTTGGGACTGGAGGTCCCACAGTTCCCAGCATGTTTATCTCATCCGGTATAGAAACAAATGTACCGGCACAAGTTTCCGTTAAGCCTATATACACAAGAATGAGAAGCCAGTCAAGAAGACAAGTTCTGGTGCATATTATAAATAGTCCACCCTATGATCATGGAAATTTTAATCTTCAGATTTGTAAACCAGGTTGAATATTGATCATTACTAGTTATTGAGAATATGTAGCATTATTTCTTTCTAATGCATGGAAGTTTCAGCATACATCTTAATCCTTAGAGAAAATAACACAAAAGCGATGAGATAAGGGGTCGCGCACGAGTTAACACATATGCTCCAGAACAGACAGGGAAAGGTACTAAAATCAAAATAGATGAAGGGAAGAGGTGAAGAATTCATATTGGTGGGAATAGATCTAATTAGAGAATGGAAAAACACCGTATCCTTGAAGAACATGAGAACATGACACGACTCTCAGAAACTCTTCCACATGGGGTGCAAGAGGTGCTGCTCCAGATAAAATAATTCTGACATTGCCTCCTAAACCTTGTTTCACCTACAAGGGGAGCAGCCTTCACACTTCCATGAAAAATTCTGGCATATAGATAATATATAATAAGGTAGAAAAATCCAAATCAAAATAGTGAAAATCACCTTACTGAAAACAACTTTGTCAGAGAGTGGAGATGCTTCCGTGTGTGTATATCCATTCTTCATATTACGCAGTTTTCTGGGGGAGACAGGTCAAAATATAAAGTAAAGAGGTCATCAAACAATAAAACTGCAAATAACATGCCCTGGCATCAAAGGAGGCCCTATAACAGTAGACTGCTACACTTTCACAGAGTTGGCTTGTGAATCATATAGCAAAATGCAAAGATAGTTCTTAAACAACGTGTGAGCTGAAATTTTGTTCCCTTGATAGTGGACTTCCATACTGTTTCAGAGTTGGTTTGTAAATAATATAGCGAAATGCCATGATTGTTTGTTTAACAGGGTATGTGTTGAAAGTTTGTTCTTTTGAGAGCTCAAGAATCCAAGAACATGCAGGAAATATACACCATCCATCAAATTCCGAAATTCACACTGTGAACTTCCATTTATTGTTTTTCATCCAGAAATAATAAGGCATAAAAGACTAGGAACTTACAAAGAGTAAGCCAGGTTGAACATGGTATTTTGTATGAAACCACCCGCAGCAATCTTCTGTTGCAAACCTGAATTAAGAAAATGTAAATCAGAACATAATCACCATAAATAAGGTTAAATTAGAATAGAATGAAACAACACCAGTTTATCTCATCAGGCAACCCATCCTTCTCTCTCCAGTCCAAAGCTCTAATAGCTTATCAAGATGATAAGTGATTTAAGAATGTTTTGCACGTGGGCATCACAGATCCCAAATGTAAAATGTAAATTAGCAACTAGCCAGCAGTTTACAAATACATGGACAGGACATTGTGTCTCAATATCCAAAATCATAGTTCAACAGAATGTGCAATCTGACGCGGAAAAAAATTGATCTATAAGGACAACACACTTCGTATTGTTTCACACACCCATCGCAAAGGATGAACAATCTAACAATAAATGTAAGTTACAGAAAGATGGACACCAACCTGAATAAATTCTATCTAGTACCCGAGGAACTGCACAGAAAATTGTGGGTTTAAGGAGTCCAATATCTTCTACCAACAACTTAACATCCTACAAGGATGAAAATAGCATATTATATCAACTGTGCTTACAATCTATAATGACAAAGAAAACAACTGAAAATCTTCTTACCCCTCTCCAAAATCCAATAGAGCCCCCATTAATGATCAAACACTCTTCAATGGCACGATCGAAGATGTGCGCTAAAGGAAGATATGAGAGATACACATCATTGACGGATACCTGAAAAAAAAAAAAAAACAGAATGAACAAAAAACTAAAACCATTAACCTTTCAATTTACTGTTTAGCAACTTCAATAGTTTAGATCGAGAAATAAATTTTCAAATTTTTAAATAGTACAAATAACTAGCATTCAGTATACAAAGAGAAGATAATCAAGCAAATATATAATCACCGATTCATTCACACTCTCTAGCAGACGATTTACACCAGCTATAAAAGAAACAATGGTATTGTTGGAAATCATGACTCCCTTGGGATCGCCAGTAGTGCCACTGGTATACATAATTGTACAAATGTCCGTTCTCTTTTTCACAGGAAGCTCGTGATGCTTGTTCTCTCCCTGCATAATAAGGTCAGCAAAGGAAGGAATACGTTAGATATTTCATTTAGAAAGATGAGACGAACAGCAGATAATTGTAATGACTGTTTAAGTTAACATCAAACTTGAATATTCTTACAGACTAAGCCTTTAATGCAAGCATTAATGCTCCCGATATCAGGAGATTCAAATATTCCATACAGTGCCCATACGTATGAGTCAACAGAATCAAATCCAGTGAGTTTGCATCAAGTTCACTCCATTTTACACATCTATAATATAACTACATATAAAACAATGCCAGTGAATAAACTAAAGTATGAAATATATAGTTAACATTACATAACGCTTTATAGAGGGGAACGAAATTATAAGGTGCAACATCAAAACAACAATTGGAAGGAACGGCCCAAGCATCATATATGTTGCATAAAAGGTAGCTAGCTGTATGTTTTGAAAACCTTCTATATGTATTAACTTGACAGAAAATAAAATTGGGTGAGCTACTTGACAAATAGTTTTCAGAAAATTCAGCCGACTCAAAAGCTCAAGTAGGATACTATATGTAAAAAGAGTTCTAGTTAAACAGAACCATGAATATGTTGAAAATATAAAATTAGAACATCGCGTAGAACATCGGTATGAGCCAATAACAACCAAAACCAAATTGGTATTCAGTTAACAAGGACCATGGGAGGGGCAAAGGGAAATATCACAGTGCTATGCAAATCATACAAGAAAGATACAAAATACCAAAATCGAGAGGATTACCAATGACAAAAACTCATCCCAAGAATGAATAGGCACACCAAAATTTTCAGCTTCAGCCTTCTGCTGAGAACTAACCTTCCCAAAGCTCACAATTGCTGAAAAGCATGCAGCGCACAATCACCGTTAACAATAACAAACAAGATAAAATGATAAGGAAAACTGACTATGGAAGGTAATTACTTTTCAAGTACTTAGCTGCAGTCGGAAATGTTTTCAAAAGCTGAGAATCAGAGGTGGATGTTAGAATCAATCAATTATCTCCAAACACCAGTTCCATTATCAAAATATCTTCTACACAAATACACTTCCACCAAGTCCACAAATAAGGATCTAAACTTGTACTGCTGTACGCTCGTATAGTTATAGTAGAAGTGTCATATAAAAATACATTCAAGTCAATGCAATGTACAGTCAAGTCAACTTATAGTACCATGATTTATCCTTATACAGACAAAATTGTTAAGAACTTCCATAATACACATAAAAGAAACTCAAAGAACAATAATTTCCTAGAATTAAATAATTGCACCTCTGAGATTTTTTTCTCTTCTACGAAAGCAAGTTCAACTTCAGCGTGGCAAATGATGAATTCAATAGCCCCAGCACCTGAACCACCAAACAAGTACCAAGTCTCAGTGAATATTAATAGCTGTTAAACTAATACTAAAGGAGTGATACATACCTAAAGTGTCATATAACGGGACACAATAGAGTCCATGAGCATTACACGCCTGCATCGAATAGTTAAATTCCAGGGTCAATTTGACCTTTTATATATATATATATATATATATATATAGCTTACTGACAGCAATTTATATCAATCTTGAAGGCCGCAAAATACATGAATGGGAGGAAAAACATTTACACTTGGATATATAAACAAGAAAGAGAAAATAGAAGGTTTAGTTTTGTCTTTTTGTTAGAACAGAAGGTTCTCTCATCCAGAAGCCCTTTTGCAGCAAAGAATTTTTTTTACAAGCTTTCGGTAACACAGATGGAGGATGGGGACGGAAATATACCTATTGGAAGGCTAAATAATTGATATCATAAGATGGCCAAACCTAATTATTATAACCATGAATGAGGTCACCTTCACTGAATGCTATTATTCGGCTTCATATCATGAAATATCTTTAATTGGTCTACATAACTAGGTCGACATCCAGACCAAAAACAAAAGATTTATGACCACAATAAACAATTCCATCTTATTTTGTAGTACATTTGACTTTCAACTTCTTCTTTGGAATAATATTAGTCAATTGGACATTAGAGAGGAGTTCCATGTGCTAAAGAGAGAACAGCTAAAGTTATTTGCATTTCAATAAAACATATATTGACCGACTAAAATATGCAAATAATAAAACAGTTAATCAAAAGTAGTTAAGACCTTCAGAATCTTCTTTGAAATTGGATCATAAAAGTCTAAGAAATTTTCATCGGATATGGTTAATTAAAACCAGAAAATCCCACAGAGCCCTGTAGATATCATATGAGAGTACATGCTAAAGGAGAGGAGAGGAAATAAAATTGTTTGCAAGTACGGAGTACCTCCATACTCATAATCCACTCAGGAGAATTAGCACCATATATACCACATCGCCCTCCCTGAAATTATTAGTTAGATTGTGTAAGGTATAAAAACCATCATACAGCCAGATAAAAATATGCGTAAACACTTAAACAGGAAACAGAAATCAAATGATAAGAATTTAAGGGCATTGGTACAGATTAATGGCAAAGAATTAGCAACATATAAAAACCAAGAAAAGAGAAGGAAGACAAGACATCACAAAGAGATATGTATTTACAATAATTAACAACCATAACAAATTTCAACATGCTAATCAATAATCAACATAAATTGACGTATCAATCAAAAGCATAAAGGGACAAAACTCTAAGTAAGTTACCACGTGTACGAGAAAATTTGTAAACTTATACAAGAAAATTTAGCCGAAACTTAGCATTGAAAATTACTTTTATTGATCAAAGTAAAAACTGTCATAGAAAACAAGATTATTTTTTTTCAAGTCTGGCGATGCTTACTTTATCAATGCCACAACAACGGATGGAGTTACCAACTTTCAGCACTATGTCATACACTTCTTTGTAAGTCATCCATATATATTTGTCAGGCTGATGACGCAGATCAAACAATAAAGATCAGATCAGACAAAAAGTCCAAAAACAAAGGGAAATTGTAAGGCATCAGAAATGTTTGCATTAGCTTCCAATTATCACACAAAAACAATATACCTTCCCATTGACAATTTGAAGACGACCAAGCATCTGGTTGTTGGGATACTTCTCTACTGACAAACTGTACCACAGCCAAAGTATGCTTCAATTTTATCAACATTGAGAATTAAGATACAGACGAAGAAATTATGAAAAATTTGAGAAGATAATCTTTATACACGAAAAGCTGATGCATCTCCAGGAGCTAGGGTATCCATATTAATTAGTTTTTTGTTAACGAACTTAATTATCTAATATATATAATTGAAAAAAAAATAATGCCAATTGAAATCATCTTCTTAACTTACTAGCTTTGAACAACAACAACAACAACAACAACAACAACAATCTTAATAGACTGTACATTTATTCTATCATGCAGCATGATCGTTTCAACTTTCAAAGGTAAGTAATATTCTGAGAATCATCTGTTGGTGTTTTGCTGTTAGTCATATAAATTTAATTTTGACCGATAAGGGTAAAACAACAAATGAAATAATCGAATAGTCAGAGCTTCTTCTACTTTATCTTCTTCCTTAAAATCATCATCACTCTACAGTTACATCCATTTGAAAAATTAAGAGATAAGCACCCATGACAAGAATATAACAAGAAACATGACAAAACACTTAAAAGATGTAAAGTGATTCCAATTGTACATTTCAAGAGGAAAGAAAAGAACACAGAATCATACAAAAGTCTATTACAAATAGGCAAATTTAGCTCCACCAAACTGACAAAAAGAATTGATAAAAATCAGAATGAGGATGAACAAACAAAAATTACTTCAACCCCCACAAATCACAGCCACAACAGGCGAAACAACACGAGCAACAGAAACAGAGATCGACTTCTACTTTCCCCAACTGAAACAATAAAAACAACAATAAAGCAGAGGGATCTGACCGGAAAATGTCCCAACAGCTGTCGAGCCCCGGAGTCGGCTCCGGAAAACCGTCCTTAGCAAAGGTACTCCGGTAAACCGGTCCGATCGACGGCTTCCCATCACCGGCGGGCTTCGAGGGCTCCACCTGCACGATATACTGGTGCTTCGTCATCTCCGAGCAGGTAAAAAAACTCAAATGTAATGTCCTCAGACCAAATGCGTGTGCGTATATAGAGAGTTCGTTGTGCAAACTGCAAACAATTTTGAAGGCGTTTATGTGAGTACTTGGTAGCTAGATAGGGTGGGTGAGGGTAGGGGAGCTACGGAATAGTTCAGTTTAATGTGACCCGCAAAGAGTTTTGACTTGGAATCAGTTCAGACTTGATTTTCAGTTTAAAATCTTACCCTTTAATGACGAGCTACGTGACATGTAAATAAACTCAAGTCTTGAATACATAGATAAAAGTACATGAAATTAATAAAATTCACTCAAATACAAAGAGACTAAGTCTCTACTTTGGTTTAAATAAACTTAGGGGTAGACCGAGTCTCTTTTCTGGCTGTCACATCAGTATGACTCAATCTACTTTTGTTTGAATTGGAGAATACGAATTTTTAGATTGTCTATTTCTTATGTGGCATACAATTTTTTGTGATTAAACTCAAAGCATTTTGGATACTAACACACATCTCATTCATTCAATCAAAAAGTAACACTCTCATCTACATCATCTTTTCACTAAATCTCTCACCATTTAAACACCCTCCCACATTCCTACACATTCATTTAAATACATACATGTGACTCATTATCCACTCATTCAATATAAATTTTAGATTCTATTATCAATAAAAATTAAATTTAATATTTTTAAATTATAATAATAAATTTTAAATGCATGAAATGAAAGAACACTACAAGATCAAAATAACTTGAACTAAGATTACACAAGGAAACATAGTACACTTACAAAAAATGTTTGTACTATTTTTTAGTTGTTGGGAAAATGAGTCCAAATATGCTCAATTAAACCGGCACGAAGTTGATGATGCATTGAGTTATCTCGTATCTCTTAACTTCTACGAATGTAATTTTGAAATTCTCGATCTGAACCCTGGACAGGTTATGCGGGCTCTTCATCCTCGTCATTGTGCCAATGTATTACTACATCTCCTTCATCTTCAACAATCATATTGTGTAGAATAATGCATGTCAACATAACAAACTTCAGTTTCTTTCTATATCAAAACCCAGCAGGACCTCTTACGATTGCCCATCGAGACTGAAGCACCCCAAATGCTCTTTCCACATCCTTTCGAGCAGCTTCTTATTTTCTATAAATAACTTTCTTTTGGGATCTGATGGGTAAGGAAAATACTTTACGAACTTAGCTCATTCTGGATATATTCCATCTGTAAGATAATACCCATTCGCATATTGTGTGCCGTTGACAGTAAAATTAACGTTTGGTGCATTTCCTTACAATACATTATTAAACAAAAGAGATTCATATAATGCATTGATATCGTTATGTGATCATGTAACACCAAAAAAGACATGTCATATCCACAAAACGTTTGAAGCAACCGCTTCATGGACAATCGTAGGAGACCCATGCCCTCTCGTGAATTGGCTTTTCCAAGCATCTAGACAAATTTTCCATTCTCAGTGCATACAACCAAGGCTTTCAAACATACCTGGAAAACAATGCTTTTCTTCATGCATTTGGAGGAATCTTTGAACATCGCTATTGTTTGGTCTTCTCAAATATACATCACCAAAAATTTGAACCACACTTTCACAAAATTTAAAAAGACATTTGATAGCGGTTGACTCACTCATACGTAAATACTCATCAAGGTGGTCACATGAGACTCCATAAGCCAACTGACGAATAACTGCTGTGCATTTTTGAAGTGGTGACAAACTTTGTCTTCTTACTGCATCAATGTTTGCTGGAAAAATGATGATCGTGTCTGAAGTGCATTCACAATTCGAAGAAATAATTCTCTTCGCATACAAAAATGTATACGAAAGATATGATCCAGGTAGACTGGATGGTCAAAGAAATAATCACTTACAGGTATGTCATGCCCATCTTCACGATTTCTCTGGATGATGTCCATCTTCACGATTTCTTTGGATGAACATTCTTCTATGAACTTCAATTTCATGTTGAAATGCTTGAAGTAACTTGTAGCTTCGTTGAACGATTGATGAAATCATTTCAACTTCTAAATCGTTAGTGTCATCACCATCTTCACTATCGGTGAATGATGATGAATTAGACTCGAATCTATATGAATTTTGAGACATTTTTGGAGGATTCTAATTGAATTTAAAGTGTGTAACTATGATTTGAAGAACGAGAAAAAAAAAATATGAGTTTGCTTTGAATATATAGACATCAACGTATATGTATATTGACCATTAATTGAGTTATCAAATTGATAAGCGCGCCACAACCAATGCCTTGTATTCTGACAGTTTATTTGTGCCAGTAAATTGATTAACTTTTCAGAGTCATCTTATCTTCTGACACATTGATTTTGATCAGTAAATTGATTATTATAGACAACTATAGAGTATAGTCGTCTTTAATGACCCATACTTTATTTTCTGAAGGTGTATTTTCGTTATAATAATTTGCAACACGTACCCAAAACGCTTCGGCCTTCTGATCATTACCGGTAATTAGATCGTCACTTATTGTCACATAAGCTTTTGCCAATTGCACATTGTAATATCCCGACTTTTTATCAGTATAATAATATTTTAGTTCCGATATTATTTTTTCGGAATTAATTATTTTCAGTTATTTCAGTCGGAATTACCGGAAAATATTTTCGACGTACCGTTTACGTTCGAAATAATTTTGGTAATTTAGCATTATGTTTAATTGGATAATTAAACATAATTAAGTGATTAATTTAACTTAATCACGAGGTTAGTATTGTTCGGATTTTATTCCGAGCCGCGCCATTGCCGTGCGCATGTGTGTTAACACCGTGCGTATTCATGCTCATGCTATAGGTTAATACTCGGTCCAAGTTCATGTGTAAGTGCATGGGAGTGCTCGGTCCATATTTTTTTTTATTGTGCATTGCCATGCATGTGTTGTTGCCGTGTGCTCCATGTGTTCGTGCGTGTGTTCGAGAATCCGTGCCCAGCAATTGCCATGAAGTCCGCGCGCCATTCCTTGTCCGTATGCTAGTGGGCGGAGTGCCCAATGCCGTGCATCTCCTTTGCATTTAGTGAGTGTGTATCCGTGCCTTCCTTTGTCCTCTAGCCGTGGGAATTTGT